TTTTCATCCTTTAAGTTCCCTAAATAACATAAAAAATTAATCCAAAATTAACTGTTTCAAATAGAGGGGGTGACATTCATAAATAAGGATTATTAAACCATGTTTCATTAATCACTGTTTCATATACGAGTAATAATCAATTTATTCCTCACCTCAACGTTCTACACTTTATTCCTCAATATATGTTTTTAATAAATTTAAAATTTGGTGGTCAAAATCATTGTGATAGTTCCCAATTTTATACATCTTGAGCTTTCAGAAAAACCGATCTTTTCCATGTTCATGAGAAGCTTTTGGACTAGGATGAATTGATTCAAATTTTAAATAGATTGAATCTCAGAAACTGGGTGTTTAGAATAAGAAATATAATTTTAACAATAATGAATGAGATTTTTTAAAATTTTGTATATTAATTTATTTTATTTAAAGAACGAACTAACACACACTTACTAGAAGACAATTTTAATCATTCGGTCAATGACAACCGGCCATTATATTGCCCAGTTGTCATTAAATTTTTGATAGAAAAATACTGTGACGCAATGTACATATTGTATGTGTACTCCAAATTATTGTGGGCGTAGAAATGTTTTTACAATCTATACATATAATTGTAAATTCATTAATGAAAAACCCTTTATAAAAATTCTTATTATAAACGATCGCTACTATATAAGTGATTTAATTTACTCAACTAAAAGTGCGATAAATTTATTTAAATCTTCAGATGCTATAATGTATTTATGTTTGGCATTTAAATTTCAAATGAATAGTACAAAAAGAAAATCCAAAAATATTAGGACATAAAATAAATTCTAAAAATCAGATTATTTGAGGAACATTTGGAATTCAAATATACATACATATTTACATTTTGGAATACACACTATGTTTGAACATTTTCAAATAAAACAAAACGAAAATTAAAGAACTAGATATTTAAAATGTATGAATTATTATTTCCCGGAACCAAAAACGAATTGTGTAGTATTTTGTTGATTTAATATTTAAATTTATTATTTTACAATGTATATGATGAGAGCATAGAGCATCGTGCGATTGACTTTTTAATCTAAAAAAAATAAGAGGAGCTATGAATGCATTTTTTTGTATGCGGGATCTTTAAGAATTCTTATGAAACGAATTTTTTGTATTTTGAACTTTAATAAAAAAAAATAATTTTAAAAAACAGAAAATTTCAAAATAAAACAGGCGTTGCTTTTTTATAAAGTGAAAACAATGGCCCGATTGATGACGTCATTGGAATTCTTTAATATTTTGTAAATTTTTTTATCATTTTTTCATTTGGTTTTGTAGAAGCATTGCTATTTATCGGAATTCCTGTTTAAAATTGAAAATAAAAAAAAAAATCACATGTATTTTTGTCAAATCATAAATTGGAAAAGAAATTTCATTAAAAGCCATTCCAATTAAAACAATGGGATTGTTACATAATAACGACAACAACGTTATGCGTCGGAGCACAAATTTTTGAGAATTTTGTGTCTCAAATGCTTTGCTGTTTGCGTTATTAATTTTGGTAGTTTGTGCGTGATTCGTTATATTTGTTACTGCTTCTCACTCCCGACATCTTACATAATAGCCCATTTGGCTATGGCTATTAAACGCGTTCTAAGAGTAATTAATTAAAAAACCTATTGGAATTGGATGTCGAAATCACGCAATTTGACATATCGATTGCATTTTCGAGCAACAGTAATGAACATATTGTTGGTAAAACGACAAAAATTACACGTAGTCGTGGCCAAAATTTACAAAAAAATTATTTAAGAGAAAACTGACAAAATTTGACCAAGTCGGTCTAAATAAAAACGTCGTCAAGCTCACAATTTTTTGTGATTCCTTGTTTTAATTAAAATTTATAAAAACCAAATTACCCATAAAGTATATGATATAAAATTCAATATTTTGTGCAAGTATATGCTGATTATAAGGAATATTACACAAGTGCATACATACATAACTGCTATTAGATTTATTTATTATCTTACCGCAACATAATATGTCATGTACAAATAAAATTTTGTTTAGCATACATATATTCGAAATATGAAATGACACTTGTATATTGGGGGTTTATAAATAACTTATATACGAAATTAAATCATAAAATAAATTGAGTTATTAACGAGGTTTATCAAGGTTTTTGTTTCTTATAAACCTTGATAAGTTTATTTATTTATAACATAGCTATTGTATGTACAGGGTTGATGTAAATTCCAAAATATTTTGTACGATAATAATATGGAGAGGAGAAATGAACTTGAAAAATTTCTATATTTTTGATTCCTATAAAAATCTTTAAACTTTTATGTAATAAAATGTCTTTTAATTACATTCGAATTGCAAAAGTAGCCTTTAGCTCCCAGAATATGGAAAGGATTACTAAAATAATTAAACTGTCTCTATTTCAAATACTTACATTTAGTTGTCCCAAAAGAAAATTGTTAAATCAGGAAAAAGTGATCGCTACAAATTATCAAAAAATTTAAAAAAAAAATATTTTTTTTTCTGATTTTCCTTCAAAATTTTGATTTTTATTTTTGCTCTTTCTCTCTTTATTCTCAAACACATACACAAGATTTTTTTTTTCTTTGTTTTTATCAAATACAAACATTCTAACAATAAAGTCCCAAAATACTGTGCATTTACGAAAAATTTCCACTGTTTTCGTTTCCATATCCAATCGTACTTACGTAAAAAACACAACAATATTAAAGCTGTGGTGTTGACACAATGCTTAACAATGTGCGATCTGTTTTATAAATTTTCCCATTAACTAACACAATAAAATAATTAACAGCAAATGCGGCACTAACACAAAAACAATTTTTTAATTTAGGAAAAAAATTCAAATAAGTATGAGAAAATTATAAAATTTATAAAAAAAAATAAAACAAAATAGGAAAAAAATTTTATTTTCTCAATTTTTTGATGTGGCATTATGGCTGTTTCTGTTGTTCTTGTCCATTAATTGCCTAAAAATAAATAATTATTATTTTCAAATTACGGAATCTATGAAAAAGATTCTGGCTTTTATACTCTTTGTAATTTGTTGAACTGACAATTTTACACATTGAATGTATTCTTTATTGCCTCATATTTATGAAAATGGTTGCCAAAGTTAGATTATCAAAATAATCTTGGTTATCAAAATTATCCAATTATCTTATTGTAATTTTCAAATTATTACAAAATAAAGCAGTTAAAATATTATGTCATTATTGTCATACCAATATAGACAAATTAGACAGCAAGACTGGGCATCTAAATATTGATAATACAACGATAGGTAATTAAAACACATTAAGAAAACTAAAAATTAAAACGTTAAATAATTTCTTGGAAACAAACCGAATTAGTGAAGGAAAATGTACATAAAATTAGAAAAACATGTTACATTCATGTTTACATAAATTGAATTAAATATTTTTTCTGTGCTCGTGTAGCAAACTTCATGGATATGCATAAGTATGTCGCTCATCAAAAATTAACTAACTCACAATTTGCTCTATATTGCGGCTCTATAAAAAAATTTCCTAAAATTTCTCTCCAAATTTTCTTTTATAAATTAATAAGTGTATATTATGTACCTACACATGTACATATGTATATACTTAATTGTACATCTTATAAACTACATACATACATAAGATTTTTTTTTATATTTTTCCCTTTTTTTCGATATTTTTCATTTTTTTCACAAAATTAAAATTTTATTTATTCGGGAAAACGTTGATGTTTCTCTAAAAAACATTGGAGTCTAGAATCGATCGTGTTCGCCTACGATTTTTTACTCTCAACAAAATACGAGGCAAATAATATAATATGTGTATAAGAAAACAAGTTGAAAAAAAAAAATAGAAAAGAAAATTAGAATAAATAAATATAAAAATTAAAATTAAAATACAAAAATATTAAAAGGAAAATTATTTATTAATAAATTTAATTTATTTAAAAATTTGTGGCTCAAAATCTCAATCTGAAAATATAAAGCAAAAAGAAAAAAAAAATATTAATTTATTTTTATAAAATTCATAAAGAGAAAATAAATAATTACAAATAATAATTTTTTTTTTAATTTTTTGTTTTTGTGTTTGTTAGTTATTAAAGTGATAACACAATTCCACATCGTTATTTTTCGATTCAACGTACAATGTCAATACAGAAAAAATGATTTTATGATTATATTCGTTAAATTTCGTGATTTTTTTTACGAAGTGGCGTGAATTTTACTTTATTTTATTATAACAAAATTATATGCAAATTTTTGACAATTTGTTTTGATAAAGTCTCTCAATAATACCGGCTATTTAAAATTTGTGCTTTTAAGCCGAACAAAACTTTGTAATTTGCACTAAGCTTTGATATTGCGTTTTATAATACTCTTTATTTCAAAAAAATATCCAGTAGGTGTTTTAAGCAAAATTTTCTTACAATCTTAAAAATCAATTGAAATCATATTTATGGAACGAAGGCAATTCGGCGTTTCGGATATTTAATCAGAAATCAATTAGCGACAGTTTTCATTCAATTGAAACGTAACGATTGAAATTGTGTTGAAGTAGCTTAATTTTTAAATATCTTCATTAAATATTTAAAAATACAAACGTCTTTATAATTATAGAATAAAAAAAATTCATACAATATTTTCAAAAAGAAAAATTATTTTTTTGTTCCCTTTGTTTTGTGTTTTGTTTCTCTTTTTTTTTTGGAAAATTTGTATATGTTTAGCGTGTACAATTATTGTCGGCTATTTTAGCGTAATATACAAGTAGATCAAACTCATCATTTAAAAGCAGCATCCGTTTTAACAAAAAGAAAAAAACAATAAAAAAAAAATAGAAAGGAAAAATTTGTGTTTGGTTTTTCCTCATTTGTTGTTGTTGTTTTGGTTGGTCTTACATTTTAACTAAATGGTCTTTCGTCAAGTTTTATTTGAAGAAAGTTGTCTTCTCGTTAAGTTAAAATTATAATAGGAAAAATAAAATTTTTCACAAGGCAAAATTTACTCTAAAAAAAGATTTCGTTTTTTTTTCTTATTGTTTTTTTCTTTAATGTTTTTTGTGTTTTTATCGAAAAAAAAATAGAAATTCAAAATTTTAAAATTCTCATTTTGTGATTAATTTTCACACAAAAAATTTTTTATTTGGAAAGAAAAAAACAAGAATAGCGGGACAATCGCGAATACCCTCTGTGCTCTTTTTTTTCTGTATATATAAAAAATTCATAAATATAATTGCAAAATAGATAAAATAAAAAAACGTACGTAAAACAACGTGTGCTCTACGTTTCTTTTTTTTTGTCAAAGAAAAATATTTAATTTTTTTTTATTATTATTTTACAGTGATAATAAATAGTGATTTATGATTAAAAATTTTTTTGATTAAATAATCATAACAAATTATATAAAATTATTATTAATAAAAAGAAATATTTAAAAGAAAAAAAAATAAAAATAAATCATAAAAGTAAAGTGAAACCACAGAATAAAAAATTGGAAAAAAAATATTTTTATACAAAAATCATAAAATCAGATTTATTGAGTGTATAACAGAAAAATTATTATATGTAGAAATTGAAAAATTTTTCAAAAAAAAAAATTTTGAAATTATTTTCATTTAATTTTATAATAAATTCAATTAATAAAAATTTCATAAAGCTAAAAATTTTGACCGAGAGAGGTATTTAAAATTTTATTTAAAAATTACAATTGTCATTAATAATTAATTATAATAAAAAAAAAATGTACAATCATTAATAAAATTATTAAAGAGTTGAAAGAGCGGCGCATTAATTTACGTGTTAAATTGTTTAATGTCACAGCAATATTGTATTGATAAATTATATTGCATATATGCTTTAAAAATTACCATAACATGATTTTGTACAAGCCTTTATTAATTTTAATTAAATTTAATGATACATATACTTATTTTTTTTCGTATAACAATTGTCATGTGTACTTATACAAAATATTCACAATATAACAAGAATAAAATTTAATAGTGTGAATATCTTTACGCAAATTCTTCGTAATGTTGTGACAACAAAAATATACTCTTTGCATAAAAACTTATCATGAGTAAGTTTTTATTAGATTTCAACACAAGCATTATCACCATATTAAAATATTGGGAGCACAATATTGGAACCCTTTAATATCTAATTATAATCTCTTAAAGATTATAAACGTTTTATACACAATACAATATGATAGTCAACACTGTAAATATAATGTAAATTCTGTCATTGTTGATTTGTCATTGACATAACAAAATATTCTTCGAACATGCGTTTTATTGTTAATTGAGCAAAACAAAACTCTTATATACACAAAATTTTAAAATTTTATTTTTATTTAATAGGTACAAATTGTATTTTTGTTTATGAACCCCCAAATAATACTTAAATATTTCAAAAGTTAAAAATAATTTAAGTTACAAATAATTGGAAAATATACACTGCGACACCATAAAAAGTTGAATTAGTTCGACTTTCTGACCAGTTGTTTTCGAATAAAAATTTTTGATAAGATTTTATCATTCAAAAACCCATTTATATGGCAATTTTTTTAGTATAAAAGCAAACAGTAACTACTTTATTTAGTGTTTTTAAATGAACTTTATCGTACAGAATCTTTATGGACAGTTTGACATACCAGACTTTGTTTAACAGAAATTTATATGAATTGATAACTCGGTATGATTTTGAAATTAAATTTTTGGAAATGCAATAATGTGTTTGAATAGTGCTGAAGAAACTCCAATCATTCAGTTTAAAAAAAAATCATGTTTACACATTGTAATAGTATGCAATATAATAAACTTTCAATAGAACATTGGTGTTAGTCAGATCGAGGAGTTTTGATTTTTAAACTTGTTATTTTGCAATTTCGCTTTAATAAACCAACCATTTTATTTGAATTATAAATTATTTAATGATAAAACGGCCTTTACATAACCTAATTTTTTAATCGTAAATTGAACATGCTCTCCTTTTCAATGATTAAATTCGTAAATAATATGAAATCTTTATATTTTTATGTTTTATACAAGAAATAATTTACTGATATATATATACAATTTCCGGCAAAAATTTGAAATATTCTAATATGTTTTTTTGTTTTGAAAAACTTGACTGTCATATTTGACACATACATACGTTATATACATACGAATTTTATGATTAATTTGAAAAATTTTATAGCGCTATTAAAATTAAGGCGATCACACAATTTTGTTGTTGTTAGAAAGACCGGCCACCAAAGATGAAATTGAGTGAAATTTATTTAAGAGTTTCGATGTATAACTTTAATGTTATTATAGTAAATCAGTGTTATCCTGAATTTAAGTGTTGTTTTATCTATTTTCGCAAAGTTTTATTTTTTCCCAAAAACAAAATTGTGAGAAAATTTCGAAAAAAAATTTTTGTTTTTCATTTTTATTCTCCCATATTTTTATGTATTAATAATTTAATTTAATTGTTTTGTTGTTCTCTTTTTTTTTCCTTCTAGTTACGTGTAGTTTTCTTTTTCTTAATAAACCTGTCATCATAAATTAGATGTGGACCCCTTTTCGTTGGTTGGTTTATTTTCCGAATGTCTCTTTGCTTTTATTTTGCTCTCCTTTAAATTCGAAAATTCAATTAATTAACCTTGTCCGCTAAATTATTTCATAAATTTTTATGTATATGTATATATACATATTTATGTATATGCACACATGCATACATAAATTTTTGTTGAAAAATTTAATATTTTTTTTTAGAAAATCACAGTGGTTTTTGTTGCTAGTGTTTTGATAATTTTAGTTGCAAATAAACAAACAAAAATAAAAAGCGAAAAATTTATATAAAATTGTTTATACAACATACTTGTATACACATAAGAGTGTTTATTATTAATAATTAAAAATTAAAAGTTTATTAGAGATTAAAATATTTCATAAAATAAAATATTTACAAAGAATTAAAGAATTTAATTAAAAAAAAATTTCAATCAAGTGAAAAGAAAAATATATTTAATTATAAAAAGTTAATAAAAAAGGAAATGTCAGATAGCGATATGGTTGGTGATAAACCCGTTGACATGGATACTACCGAAACAAAAAAAGAAACTGATATTGTTGATGATGACACCACTAAAACTAAATCATCAACGGAGACACCAGCGCCAGCTGCTGGTGAAAATCCAGATGATGATGACGATGAGTTCGAATATGAAACGGAAATTAAAAGAACTGTTGTTAAAAGGACTATGAAAATAACTGAGGTAAGTGAGATTTGTAGCTATTATTTTTTATTATATTAAAGTAAGTTTTACCCAACCAATATTCGAGAAAGTCGAATAATGAAAATCTGATTGATAAATGTAATTCAATTACCTGTGTATTGACAGTATCTTGGAAACGTTATGTATTTTCTGTTGTTAATGTTGAAATTAGCACTAACAAGTAACACAAAGAATCACTTTTTATTGCCCAAATTCATAATTATTTCGATTTTTTACTTTCGATTTTTTACATGTTAATACAACAAATGTAAGGCGTGAGACCCGAGTACAATTTCCCCCTCTTTTTTTCACAAAAAATTTCCAAATATACTTGTTCATTGCGAATTTTTGTTTATTTATAAAATTAGAATTACTTTTCGTTAAAACATTTTTGTTACACCTTATATAACTCAATAATAAAATTTATTAACTACACCATCCATATTGCTATGACTTATTATGACTTCAATGTAAAAATATATGTATACACTCGTACCAACACAAAAATCAAGCCTATAATATATGCTTTTCCTTTAAAAAATATTACATAAATAAATTGTGAATTTATTGATTGATTTAATTGATTTGGATTGGAAAAATATTTTAAAAACATTCAAAAGAAAAATACAAAAGGCCATTCAAAATATGTTTTCGATATTTCATTTATTTCGCTTTTATGTGTGTATATTTGAAAATTTATTATTTTTGCACAAAATAATTTTTCATTATAATTTTTATTTCAAGAAATTAATAACTTAAAACCATATGAATTCTTTTATAATATAGAGGAAAACCACAAATAAATATAGTCAGTATTATAATAATAAAATATAATAATAATAAAATAATTGTAATTGAGAAAAATTATCAATAAAAATTAATAATGAATTGTGATGTAATTTGAATTGAGATTATCCGAAATAGAAATTAAAACGAAATTAGAAAATGGAAATTATTTTTAAATTTCAAATCAAATGAATAAAATTCACAAAACTCTTGAATATTTTGAGGTTTTGATTAAAAAACTATAAGTTATATTCGAGTTAAATTTTTAAAATTAACAAAAATCATTACATTGTTGTTAGAAATCTACAACAATTTAAATAAACAATAGTTGTTAGAGAAACAAGCGGTGAGATCTCAAGTGCTTATTACGATTTATTTCTAAAATCTACAGTTTTATGAATATTATACATTTCCTGCTAAGTATTTAAATCCAAATTCAATAAATACTTGGAATTCTTTTAGTTACACTGCTATACAATTACAATATAACATTGGTCTCGAAGATCGTGTTTTACAGGTTGTCAGGTAAATGGCAAGTGCATTTATACTTTTTTCTTATAAAAATCTTAAATCATTCGAGCTATCGATTATAGATTTTCTAAAAAATTCCGGCAATATAACAAATTCTCATAATAGTATAGCTGTTTAGAAGCTGTTATAAAGGAGTTTTATTGAAATACTCTTATTCTAAATCTGTATGCAATCACATTTAAAATTGTTTAAATTGTATTTGAAATTTTAAATTGTATTTGAAATAATTTTAAAATACATTAAATTTTTAATCACTCAGATAAATGTCAGAGTTAAGTTCGAGAAAGAGAAAATTTAAATATAAGAAAGGAAACTGAAAACTGAAACGAATTTTTATTTTACACGAAAATTGTAAATTTTCGAGTATGTATACATTTATATGTACGTAATTCTAGTGTAAACAAATGCATAACTGTTATATGAATATGAAATCTGAATCAATTGTTCGACTATTTGCGAATAAATTCAATTAAGAAAAGCAAAACAGAAAAAGGATGTATTCATATCGTAATCGTACTTTTAATGCAATAACGGTAAAAAAATGCTAAATAACATTATTATTATGTGTGAGTAAATTTTCATTAAAAAAAAAACAAAGGATATGTAAACAACGAATACTATTTTTTAAATGTTTTCCCATTTGATTTTATTTGTTTTTCAAAATGGAAATTTTGTTTACCTATACTAAAATTCAATTTGAGTGAATTAATTATATTAAATTTATTGATATATCCAAAGGATAATTCAATTCTGGATATGAAAAATAGTTATAATGGAATTTTTTTTCCGGTTTTATGAATTTCTTTTAATTTTTCGTTTTAAAAATCATGCCCATAATTTATTTTAGTTCGCATTGTTTTAATCAAAATTCATGTGCTATCCAACAATTTGTGTGATTGTAATGTAATTTAAAATATTTATTTATACAAACACCTAAAAGGTAAATGGAATCGAAAATGAAATTTAAAATATTAAAATTTTAAACACGTTTTATTAGAAGGTTTTAATAGAGAAGAATTATTATTTTAATTTAATTTTAATTAATATTGGATCTCTGCCGTCTCCATTTAAATCTCAAATTTCTTTACTTTTAACAAATTAGTACAGCAGTGTATGTATGTATGTGTATACATAATTAATGTTTAAATAGAGCGAGTAAATATTATGTCTATATATACATTGTCTGTACTTTACCATAAATCTTAATTGATGAATTTTTCATATATTGTCAGTAAAATGTGACAATATTATAATCAATAAAGTAACAGAAATTACTGAAAGTTTCCTTCAATGTTTTTCTATTTGAAATGTCACAAATCTGTCCATCAAAAAAAATGACGTTCTCGTTTTTTATATTTTTATTTTATTTTTCTTTTTAACTTAAAAATAACCGAATATAATGGCATAAAAAATTTAAACAATTAGAAAATCTTAAAAAAATATAAAATAAAATTAAAAAAAAAAGGAAAGCAATTCTGATACATTCAACTTTTGTAATTAAAGAGTCAATGACCTTTGTTCATTCAAACCTGTAATTTAAAAATAAAGTTTATGGTAGACGAACCTAAGCGTTTCAAAATTGAAAAATAAAAGAAAATCAAAATTTTAAATAATCAAGAGAACTTTTAAACGAACTTTGTTTATACTTTGAAGTACGGAAAAAAATAAATTTTATTTTAATTGTGTTCTAGATAAGAAATTCGAAATATTATTGATGAAAGATATTGAATTTCAAGAATTTGAAAAAACAATATGACAGCAGAACTTTCTCAGTAAAAAGAAAATAATTTGAATTGCTTTTAATGGTACTAAAACGAAATTTTTATTTCATGTACAAATGGATGGTTTTCCAGATTTTGTTGATTTAAAAAAAATAATTATTTGATTGTTCCACTTATCAAAATTATTTGGGGTTGAATAAGTAATTTTTATTTTGCTTGGAAATTTTAAAATTAGCCAAAAAATTTAGTGAGTACAAAAAGTGTAATAAAACACATTAACTTAAGTACGTTCTGGCATTCTGGAGCATCAACTTTTTTTTGGCAATATATCATTGTATGCACAGATTTTGGAGTTGGATCGAACAGAAGTTCGATACAACGTTGTAGTCTCTTCTAAATGCTCATAAATTGGTGCCATGGGAAAAACTTTACTTTTTAAAAGCTTGTCTATAAGTCCAAGCAGACCATCCAAGTTCCTCACAGGCGCATAAGAGCAACTACAATTAAGTATTAGAGAAATTTGCATATAAAAATTTCTTGAACTAAAATTAGAACAAAAATTTTTTAGATGAAATTATTATCTATCTGATATTGCATTTAAAGTTAGAAAATTTTATAAAATTTTTAACACATTTTTTCCCAACAATCATAACCTTTTTGTGTTTTTTTTTTTCTCATTGTGTTAATCAAAAACGAGAGCAAATTAGACAAAAAAAAACGAGAGCAAATTTTCAGCACACACAAAAAAATTGTTCAGAGTAAATAAAAAAAATATCGAAATAGGAACAAATTGGCCTAAATTAATCGAATTAAATTTAATCAGAATTTTTTTATTGCATATACAAACAATTTTTTTTTTATTTTAGTGAATTAAAAATTACTCACTAAAATTTAAAAAAAGAAAATATTTTTTATTTTTTTTTTGTTTTTGGTAAAAAAACATGCTCACATTTTACTAATAAAATAATTTTACGGGTCAATAAATTTCACTCTTTTCATCCCTCTTAAAACAAAATGAAAGAAAATAAAAAAATAAAAACATTTTTCGGAATAGTTGAAAATTTATTATAGAAACATAAAAAATTATTAAAACCGTAGATAAAAAAAAAACTCATCATAAAAATAAATAAAAACTATTATTTAAAATTTTCATGTTTTTTTTTTTTAAATTGCAAAATTACTACAAAGTTGCATATATTTAGGGTGCTGTTAAGTTGTTTGTCACAATTAAATTTTCGATGTTAAAAAGGTACTTTCCAGAACATTATCAATCTGATAAAAATCTCTTTTTTCTTTCTTTTTTTGTTTTTTACATCAAAATCACGCTAGCTATTAATACGCTAGCGTCAAAAGTATTGAAATTCATAATTTTCGAAAAATGTGAGCAAACGAGACTCTGGGAAAGAGCAAAATTTTGAATTCATTACAAAGAAGTTTCTCTCAAATATTTTAATCGTGTGCGATCATGTTAATGCCATATGAAAATAATATGATAAAGCGGAAATAAGAAAACAATACACCAGCTAATGCTATAACACTATTCAAAACTAAAAAGCTAAAAAATAAAATGAGAGTCTCTTGTTTATTAAATCATAATTTCTGTAAGCATTCTGTATTAGAATTAGGAAAGTATTTTACAGAAGCTTAGAAGTAATGAAGTTACACAGTTCAGAGTTACTCGACTTTGAAAAATTAAATTTCAAGTTTTGTTTGTTCTTTTCAATTGCGATTAGTAGTATTGAAGCATTTTTTATTTTTGTTAAAAACAGTATTGGAACATATTGTCTTATGTTCCAATATATTATTCATAGGTGAATATAATTGAAAGGAATAGGGTAGATATGGTTGTGGATAATTAACACCGCTCTTAAAAGTTTATAATATGAAAGTACAATTTGTTACCAAAATAAACCATAATAAAATGCCAAACGCGAGTGGAAGAATTTGTTTAAAAGTTTTGAA